AACATCCATGGTTCTTTTACACGATAGCAAATATTGCCAACCATGGTTCAGTGCCCACCTATATCTCTGACTTCTACCGGTCTAAGCATAGCTAAGCATATATTCGATCCTAGACCTACATAGGGTTAAAGGTATATATCTAGATAAGGTAGTTCTATGCATCAAGTATTTCCAACCAACTCTTATAACCTAATGCATCAAATATAAAAGACTCAAGTGATATTTTGTAAAATATGGGAGACTTAGAATGCTCCAGAGCTTGCCTTTGATAAAGGGCACTCGGGTAGGTCCTCAAGAGCTTGCTCCTCGCCTTCTGGAGCTACGGGCTGAGGTGCCTCCTGTTGTTCCTCCGACTCTTCATCAAATTCTAATAGAGTTATCCCCTCGGACGATCCTATATGCATGAGCAGAAAATAAGATATCATGGATGCATATAAAATGACATGTATAATATGATATGATATGATAAATGCATCCTCATAAGTACTCTCAGCAGCATTGCATTAAGGTGATAACAAGTTATACTTTCTTTTACTGAGTAGGTGCATATCACTTCTCTAGTAACTTAAACAAATACTTATGTAAATTATTTTCTGGACTACAAGATAGCAGCCACTTATTTTGACCATAACTAGAGTTATACATATCAAAATAATATGGTTGTAGACATTCTGGAAATCTTATCAACTTTCCTACAACTTTCTTTTAATCATGTTAATGTGATTCAGCAGTTATCTAGGTCAAACAATTCAATCTTTTACATCTATTTAGAGAGCAGGCATTTCAGATAGCAGACTTCCGACCACCATAATTCTCAAACCATAAGGCATATGACTATGAACATTTAACACAAGGTAGATAAGTAAGTTATCTATAACTTTGTTATTAACTATTTTTACAGAAAAGATCATTATCATCACGAAATCATCACCATAATAGAAACTACACATGTAGTCATCTAGTTGAATTATAAAGCAATAATTAACTAGTTGCCTATAAACAAATACTTCTAAGTCTCACTAATAGTATCAACAGATTATATGCATCACACACACCACATAAAACTTCATGGTTAAGCCTAACTAATTTATTTATATTCATTTATTAATTTCTTTAGATAATAATGTGATTTACAGAGTAAATATTTCCAGTACTCAATAAATTCTGAGAAAATTATAGTAGGCTACATATGATCCTTGTAGTCTACTGTACAAATTTCATGTCATTTCGATAAGTATAGCTACCTCTACAAAAATGATAAATTACATATGTTTATTTTGGCAAAAATAGTTTAGCATAGTAAAAAGTGTCAAGCAAAAGATTTAATATTTTTATTACTTTCCTCCTAGCATGAGAATACTGTGTAAAATTTTGTATGATCATATGTTATGTATTTTTACCCCAATTAATTTTACTAGAATCTAGCAATTAATTAAGATTAAATAGGAAGACCATATTACAATAGTATTTTTCCTAGCTATAGCATGTCAACACAAGATCAGAAAAATTAAAATCACAATTTTATCACTTTCCTAGCTCAAATTATGCATTTACAAGATATAAACTACTTTAAAAGCACTTATCTTGCTCAATTTAATTCTCCCAAAAAGATACCCTAAGAAGTAGATTTCATATTTTTATCAAATAATACTATTCATGATGAATCCAACAAAATTTGGTTCACCTCATTTGGATACTCTAGCTCTAGATATAATTTTTGCAAGTTAGTATTCAAATCTGTAAAAAATAAACAAAAACAACTAAACCCTAAATGCTAGGTGCACCCGGTCTATACACCTCGCTGTGACTGACGCGCGGGTCCTGCAGTCAACCCGACCTCACATGACAGCGAAACAGAACAGCGGCGGTGCTTTGACCGGCGAGAGCTCGCCGACGGCGAGGTCACCGACGACGAGGCCACCGCCGTTGTGTTCCCCATCATCACGTGCATCTACCAATACCCTAGGTTTGCTCCAAGGATCACCAGAGCTACCTTGCCGGTGAGCATGGCGGCTCGGCGGCGATGCGCGGTGGTGCTCTGACCATCTCCGGCGATGGCAGGGCCAGGAGAGCGCGGCTACAACATCCATGAACCCTCGCAAAGCTCTACTGCGCAGATCAAGACACTGTGAAGCGGTGGTGAGGCTTGGCTACGTGCATGGCGGTGGGGCGGCGCAAGCACATCGGTGGCACGGTGATGTTCCATTGTGATGGCGGCGATAGCGAGGAACTAGAATACGGCGTGAGCACCTACGACCTAGGACGACGACGGACCGACGAAGAAGAAGGTAGGAGCTGTGGTGGATAGGGCTGGCCACAGACGAGCTTGGAGCTCGGTGGCACACCACAGCTATGGCGGCGACGGCGACGCGAAAAACGGCCTCACTTGAGCTCGGATTGTGGCATAGGCGGTTCGGGGAGGTGGAGCGGCTCACGGCCGAGCGGTGTGCGCAAGCTATTAGTGCGGCGGTGGTGGCGCGCGAGCTCGGCGGAGGTCGGCGGTGACAATGGCGGCACTACGGTTCCGCTTTGGCGAGCGCGAGAGCGAGAGAGAGGCGAGGCAGAGAGTGAGCGCGAGTGAGAGGCGCGCGGCTCGACGTCCACTTATGCCTACTCCGTCCTGACCGATGGGGCCATCGTCGGCGGACGGCCACTAGGTGGCGGCTGCAGCCCGCGCGTGGTCGACCACGACGGACGGCGCGGCGCTGCTCTGAATCGGCCATCAGGCCGACTGACGGAGCATCATCAAGCGATTACTACTCCTAATTCGTGGCGCTTTAGCAAAAATTTCCTTAATAAACATTGTAGAGTTTCGTGAAAGCTACAAGATTGATTAAAAGAATTTTGTCTAATTCGCAATGGTTTTCAAACAACAAAGCTCTAAAGTGAGCTACTTTGAAACTAAAATCAGCATTCTACACTTAGAAAAATTTTAAGCCACAAAACAGCAATTTATTGGAACTTGTGAGCTCTATTTGACCATGTTAGACACTGAATTAGCTCGTTACCCTTAAATAAAGTTTGTTACCCATTATGTGAACTACAATTTTTATTTAGGTCACACAGCCATGCAAATATTCTAAGATATTGTTCAACTTTGGTCAAACTAGCATCATGAAAATGGCATTACAAAATAAACCAACACTTAGAAGCAAAATTGGCTTAACTCATGAATATAAACATTGTTCCAAATATCATTCTAGATGTGTCTAAGGTATTTTGGTGACCTCACAACCATCTCATGCATTGGTCACATATGATCACAAGTATAATTAAGTATATGAGCAACATCACATGTGATAAATCGAAGGTAAATGAAATAAAACTTCATATGATCATGCTCATGAATGCTTGGATGATGCTTGTGCTCATGAAATGAAAATGCCAAATGCAATGCTTAACACTGGGGTGTTACACCGCCGCTTGCCGGTCTTCGGCATCCACAACGCTTGCGTTCTACACCGGCCATCAGGCATCGCGCAACCGTGCTTGCATCGACGTTTGACCTGACCTCTCGTCAGTCTCGATCGATCGATCGGTGTCTAGGCATCAAGCCGCCGCCACTCCGCCATGACTACTTCGATTGGGATTGCTGTGGGAATCTACGATTAGCGGCCGCGGCGTAGATCGAGGCGTCGAGTCGCCCTATGGGTCCGCCCTTGCTGCCGCGCGTGATCAACTGCGTGTAGCCAGGCGAAAATTTCTCGGTGGCCCCTCGAAGGATTGAGAAGGCAAGTTTTTTCCCATATATATATATATATATATATATATATATATATATATATATATAACTTACTCAGAGCATTTCCAAGAGTTTTCTAAATATTCCTCCTAAGAACTTCATATTTTCCAACTTAAAAAAAGTTAAGAGAAAAAAATCATCTCCAATAGTTTTCAATATTTTACATTAAAAAATAAATTTTGGTCCCACTTGATTTTTTTTCTTTTTTGCTGCTACTGCCGCGACGTCCTCGTCGAGTGCCGCTGCCGCTACTGCAGGCTCCGGCGAGCCGCGAGCGTCGATGTTGGGCACGGCGCTGAAGTCGGGCGAGGACGACGACTGCGACGCAGCGCTCCGCGGCGGCTGCAACGGCCAGCTACTGCGACAGCGATTTACCGCTCCCGTGCCGGCCGCATCCGCATCAACGACAGAAGCGGCGAGCTACGGCGACCGCGACTTTGCTCGGCTGGGCTTCAAATTTGAGACCATTTGCGCTGCCATCGTTCCTGCTGGTTGCCGACGAGGAAAAGATGAGGAAAAGGGTGGAAACGTGGAAGAGGTGCAGCACTCGTAGGAGACAGCGCTCCTGGCGGGGAGGCGTGCCGCTGGCCGGTGGTCCTCGCGTTTGCTGTTGCGTGCGTGCGTGCGACCTGCGTGCTTGTTTGTATCCGCGCGCGACCATGACTGCGTAAAGTTACGTGTTACGGGAAAGAATTTCCTAAATGCCTAAATATTTGAGGATGGATTAAGAATCGTTGGTGACGATTTTTTTCTTATTCTACTGAAAATTAAGGATCGGCTAGATCTCAGGGTATGCTGTGGACCAACCGGCATACCCTGTTGCTCCGCTACTAATATGTGTGTTACGAAGCAATCCGTTCATCAAGGAGAAGAACCAATAGGATTACAGAGATTCCATCCAACCAGATTAGTGACATGAATCAACCTTAGCCTTAGATCTAAATCCAACCATCAGTGTAATCTCTCCCTGTAATCACTGTAGTTTCGTACGGACTACTCCATCTTTCGGAACCGACATCACCGGGATCGCTACCCGTTGGGAAGCCGCGTATCCGCGTCCCCGAACGGGCGTCTAACAACTCCCGTGGCGTCGCTTCAACCTGTATAAATTGTGAGATCGATCAATGGAAAAGTATGGTTCGATTCATTCTTTCTCTCGATCACTACTGCTTTTAAACACGTTATCAGCACGCTCTGAGAATCGAGAGAAGTTTTCGTCGAGAAAGGTGAGATGGATCCCGAAACCTCACCGTCGATCATGACCGCCATTCTCTTCGGAGTTCCCCTCACCCGCCGCGCTCCTCTGCTCCTCGACGCCGCACGCCTGGCGGAGAGCCGCGCCCAGCACCGTCGCGTCTTCGGCCGTCGCCGTCGCCGCGGCCGCCGCAGCCGCCGTCGCACTCGCCGTAGCCGCGGCAACCGCGCCCAGCGCCTCATCGCCAACAACGGCGCCCAGGCTTCAGGAGCGGCGCCGGCACCACCAGCGCCGGTCGCCACTCCACCGCCACCACCGCCGGCCGCGCCTGCAACTCCTCTTCGTCTGCCGTCGCCGACCCCAGGGTCATTCACCCTGGTGGCCGGACCAAGGGACGGCCCAGCGCCGTACGCGTTCCAGCAGGCCGGCCAGTCCAGCGCCGTCATGGCTCCAGCAACCGTCCCGGCGGCAACCCCGGCGGGCCTGGCTCCAGCAACTCCTCCGTCGGTGTGGGCGCGTCGCGTCCACCGCCGCCTGACCACCGAACCCGAGGAGTACAGCCCCGGCCTCCGCCCCGGCTCCTGGACTGCGACCTTCCAGAGGCTCTCCAATGGAGTCCTCCCCAACCGCTCCAATGGCGAGGCTGGCCTCTCCGGCGAGGGGGGCTACTCGCCCAACTAAGCGACGAAGCAGGACTGGAAGGAGGCGGAGGCAGAAATGGCAGACGACGGAACGACCGAGCAGCGAGTCGGAGTGGCTGGATGAGTTCTCAACCTTATCCCCGCTAATAATTTATTTGCGTCGTCCTGCCCTCACGTGTCGTACAGAAAATGTCGACATTGTGTGCTCATCCTAATAAAGCTGCCTCTTGCTTGTGGCCGCCTCCGCATGTGACTTGTTTAGTAGTATATTCTAATTTGTGATCTGTGACTATGTTTAGTACTAGTGACTACAGTTAGTACTATCAGCAGCCATTCACTTCAAATCCTTCGGGGGTTTTATCATGTAATTAGCGCTGCACATTGTGTCAGGACTCGGTTAAATGTTCAAAGTATTTGTTCGTGTGACAAATCCAATAGCATTTGTTCCTGTTACTATTATTGCAATTATTTATATTTGTATTTTTTGCAATACGACACAATTTTTAAGTCTACTTTAACTATGCAAAAGTTGAATACTTAAATAAATGTCACAATCACTTCACGTGTACCTTAAAGAAATAATATTGGATATTTTAAATTTATTTGCCTTTGCAAATAAATAATTTATTTTATATGGTCTATATATTATGTCATCACATAATCATTACCTATAAAATGTTTCCAATATTTAAATTTCACATTAAATAAATCATTCTTGATTCAAATTTAATGTGCCATTTTACGGTTCACATTTAAGTTTTAAATTTTTACTTAAATATATTTTACATATATCTTACAACACATCAATTGCCTTACATTAAAACATTTATACAAATGTAGGCAAAATGTCCGGTTGTTGGCAAATTAAAAGACAAAGAATTTGACCAACTCGCACTTGATGGACATAATTTTCCAACATGGTCAATGGATCTCAAAGTTAGCCTCTCTTTACGGGGATTTTATCATGCCATTCTTCCACCAAAAGAGGGTACTTGACACCGATGACAAAACTAAATATAGTGCCTTATACATCATAAGGGCTCATATACATCCAGACCTCAAGTCTGAATATTTGATGGAAGAAGATCCACGCACTTTGTGGAATGCTCTCAAACAACGCTATGAACAGCAAAAGGCAATTGTCTTACCTGAAGCTTTGCATGAATGGAACCATCTCCGTCTACAGGATTTTAAGACTGTTGGAGAATACAATCATGCAATTCACAAACTTTGTGCAAAACTCAAATTTTGTGAGAAAGAGCCTTCTGATGCGGACAAAATAGAGAAGACTTTGTCTACTATGATGCCTGCAGATAGAATCCTTCACCAACAATACCGTGAGCGAAATTTCCAAGTTTATTCTGAGTTAATTAATACTCTACTTCAGGCCGAACGGCATAATGAGATCCTTCTTTGGAACTCAAATAAACGCCCATTGGGTGCTGCCCCATTACCTGAAGTACACACAACCACTCAGAACACAAACAAACAGGATGGTGCCAACAGGAAACCATTCAGGAAATTCAAAAACAAAGGTAAAGGTAAAGGACAAGGTAACAATAACAAGTGCAAAAGAGAGCAAAAACCGCATGATTTTAACAAGGGTAAGGACATTCCTAAAAAGAATTTTGACAAATCCCAACTTTGTCAAAAATGTGGTTGTTACAGCCACATCACTAAGAAATGTCGTACCCCCCGTCACTTGGTTGACTTGTACTTAAAGTCCGTTGGTCGTGATCGCCCAAATCAAGGACGCAAAGTCTGAAGCTCATTTCAACTTCCGAATGATGTTACGATGCAAGATGTTGCTCCATTACAACTTCACTAATGACATTAACATGGCAGAAGCTAGTTGCTCCAAAAGTGTCCCCAATACACTGAGCAACCACAAGACTCCACCACCTGCGGAAGACGACTTAATGGACACGGACAAGATGCTTGTAGAGTTTGCCTCTACTGACATGTTTGGAGATCTCAATTAGACTCCCATGGTCCCTAATTAGTACTATGTACTCATTATGTCCCGACAAAGTGTTGTAAATTATTGCTAAATATAGCGATCTTCTAAATATTTGTGGCTTGTATGCTATATCCTATATATAGCACATATATGTACCAAACACAATCGAAAATCAATAAAGTATGTATAATTATATATATATGTCATTCTCAGATTTCTAATTCTCTTTCATATATCAAGATTTCTACGGACAAATCCAATGGAGGAGGAAATGTGCCTTGTAGATAGTGGTACTACAAATTCTATACTAAGGAACACCAAATATTTCCTAACTCTAACTAAGAGACAAGGAAATGTCATAACAATCATTGGGCCGCGATGCGACGATAGTAGGCTCTGGTTGCGCTTACTATTACGCTCCCCATGGGTACTCAAATAACAATTGAGGATGCATTATTGTATCCCGATTCAACTCGTACCTTTACTTAGCTATAGAGATATCCGTAAAAAACGGATTTCACGTGGAAACACATGAAGAACATAAAGAGGAATTTCTCCTCTTAATTAAAGATACCGAACATGGCAAACAACTTCTTGAGAAAATTCCCTCTTTACCATCTGGAATATATTATACATACATCGGACCCGCACCACATGTTGCCTATAAAATAATTTTCCGAATGTTAATGCATTCCAAACTTGGCATGATCGCCTTGGTCACCCTGGCATAGGGATGATGCGAAAAATTATAAACAATTCCCATGGTCACAACTTAGCTAATTCTAAGTTCCCAGAATCTTCTGATTTTACATGCACCGCATGTGCAACTGGGAAATTGATTTTAAGACCATCTTATCTTAAGATCAAAGCTGAACCACTTAAGTTTCTTGAAAGAATTCAAGGAGATATTTGTGGTCCTATTACTCCATCATCTGGGTCATTCAAATATTTCATGGTTCTAATAGATGCATCTACACGATGGAATCACGTGTGCTTATTATCCACACGCAACCATGCTTTTGCCAAAATAATAGCTCAAGTTATTAGACTTAGAGCAAATCATCCTGAACATCAGATAAAATCTATTAGAATGGACAATGCTGCTGAATTTTCCTCAAAAGCTTTCAATGACTATTGCATAGCTCTAGGAATTCAAATTCAGTACTCAGTTCCATATGTCCATACTCAAAACGGTTTAGCAGAAGCTCTTATCAAAAGAGTTAAGCTAATAGCAAGACCACTATTGCAGAATTGTAATCTACCGACTTCATGTTGGGGTCATGCAGTCTTACACGCTGCTGACTTACTACAATTGCGACCAACTGCATATCATACTGCTTCCCCACTACAATTAGTACGTGGAAATCCACCGAGTATTTCCCATCTGCGGAAATACGGTTGCGCTGTATATGTACTGATTTCACCACCAAAGCGTACATCTATGGGTCCACACAGGAAATTAGGGATATATGTCGGGTATCAATCTCCGTCGATCATTAAATACACGGAGCCCCTTACAGGGACCTATTCACGACCCGATCTGTTGATCAGATCTTCAATGAGGATCATTTCCCGGCATTAGGGGGAGATTACAAGTACCAAAATCAATGCCCGAAAATAAATTGGGATGCACAAGACATCTCCACTCATGATCCACGTACACAAGAATCTGAACTTCAAGTTCAGAAAATCATAAATTTGCAAAACATAGCAAATAATCTGCCAGACGCATTTACTGATTATAAAGGTGTCACTAAATCCTATCATCCTGCTAGGAATGTGCCTGAAAGAATAGAGGTACCAAATAAAACTATTCAACTCCCACCTTCGAAACCGGTTCTAGGTAAGAGGGGAGAAGTAAAACTATCAATCGTGATGTGGCTCCTAAACGCCAAAGGAAACAGGATAACAAAATTCTAAATCAAGAATGTGACACAACAACAAGTTGTGAGACACCAAGTGAATAAACAAAATTCACATCCCACATCAACAATGCACTCAATACCGATGTTGGGACATCGAACACCCCGACGCTATCGTGTTGGGAAATAACGAACCGTCACGAGGGGTACAAGAAATTTCCATAAACTACATTGATTCGGAGAATCATATGACCGAAAAGACTACAATTGTCGACATATACTTTGCCAAAACAATTGCGAAATTATCCAAACTGATCCAGATCCCAAGACCATGGCGAGTGCAAAAAGCGCTTGACCGGAACAAATGGAAAGAAGCAATTCAAGCGAGTTAGCCTCGCTCACAAAAAAGAAAGGTATTCTCATCAGCAATACCTACACCTTCACAAATCTTCCCCGTGGGATTTAAATGGGTTTTCGTCCGAAAACGGAATGAAAATAATGAGGTGGTGAGATACAAAGCGAGACTTGTAGCACAAGGGTTCACGCAGAGACCTGGCATTGATTTCAATGAAACATACTCTCCAGTTATGAGTGGAATAACTTTCCGATATTTAATAGCATTGGCAGTTCAAAATCATCTATCTATGCAGTTGATGGATGTAGTGACAGCATATTTATATGGGTCACTTGATTCGGACATTTACATGAAGGTTCCCGATGGAATTCCTATTCCGAATCCTAAAGCAAGTCGCGCCACATATTGTGTGAAACTTAATAAGTCACTATATGGCTTAAAACAGTCAGGACGGATGTGGTACAACCGACTGAGTGAATTCCTATTACAAAAGGGATACACCAATAATGATGATTGCCCATGTGTCTTCATAAAGAAATCCCAAACAGGGTTCTGTATTATATCCGTATATGTGGATGATTTAAATATCATTGGCAACCCACATGATATCAATGAAGCACGCAATCTCTTAAAGACGGAATTTGAGATGAAGGATTTAGGTCAAACTAAATTTTGCTTGGGTTTACAAATCGAGCACCTTCACTCAGGAATATTAGTACATCAATCTGCCTATATCCAGAAAACACTAGAGAAATTTAATATGCATAAATCATATCCATCCAAAACTCCCATGGTTATTCGGACTCTAGACATGGAGAAAGATCCATTTAGACCAAAGAACGAAGATGAAGAGGTACTGGGGC